CCGGCAGTTATTATTACTCCCCAGGATGGCTTTACAGCTGCCGTTCCTTGTCTGGTAATCCTGTTCTATAATTGTACCTCTAAGCTGCCATTATTGGTTAAGCCCGTTAGTTACAGCCTGCAGACTCCGACACAGCGAGAAGATTGAACAGAGCGAGAATGCTGAATTAATGTGATGGGGCATTAAGTGAGTCACTGGACATTGCCCACTGCCCCTCCTCTGGTGCCCAATTGCACTGGATGGACACACCAGCCTTTATCCATAGTCAGTGGTTTCGTATTAGGGCTCTGGTGTGGGCAATGCGTTATATGTGAGCATGGCGGCCTGGATTGGATGGCTCAGCTAGCGACTCTATATATACGCTCTGCAGTCTGGAGAATTAGAACCACTAGGCTCTCTCTGCCGCGAGCTCAGCCTATAATAGGGTATTAATTGTTTGCACTGGGAAGTCAGGGGTAAATAAACAGCCAGAGGAATCAATAATCAGCCAGGTCAGATGAACTTATTTATCGCTCTAGCAGCTGCCGGCAGCAGCCACATAATAGATGTATATGGAGTATTAAAGAGGTTTTATTACGTCCTCTGCATGCTGCAGCGAGCTTATACTGTGTGCGCTGCAGAGCTGCCAGCGGCGTCGCCTCTCCAGCGGGGAGGGGGGGGGGCAACCTCTGTCTGCAGAGCTGACAATGCGATCCCCTCACCGGGGGACACGCAGCACATCTGATCCAGGAAGAGATACAGACACAACACACATACCAGCACAGACAAGGCCACAGGCCGGCTGGAAGGGTTCCAGCTTTTCCTCCATTGCAACATCTATGTGTGTGAGAAGGACAAATTCACATATTTATCGCCAATTCCAGGACAAGAAGCAGCTGTTGTTGTTTGTGCTTCTCACATCGTATGAAAGTCAGGAGATCACTGAATGAGATAGCTCAGATTGGTATTTACAACAATATATATTCAATTACTCTACACAGTTCAGTACCTGACAACCTCACCATCTATGGACACTCATAGACACCTGATCACCCTCCGGCGCCACTCTCGGCCACCCTGTACATAAACATGGCTGCTCAGCTCAGTCCAACATTCAGATTTGTTGCTATAGAGAGGAAAGGGATGAGCTGCTCTGGCGGATACTGTGGGGTGGGGGGTGGCAGCTGTTTCTTGGATCGAGTGTTGGTCAGTATGGCTTCCTCAGACATCAAAGGCCAGTTCAAGGGATTGCCATATTGTCTATGGGTATCTATGACAGATCAATAGTTCTGAGCACTGGGTCAGATCTAAAGTGCTGGCATAGGATAGGGTAGTGTTAGGCGGTTTAGTGTAGCTTTAAGGGTTAGTGATTTAATTAGGTTTAAGGGATTAATAAAGATATTTATGGTTTTCAGGTGAAAACCCGATGAAAAGGTTAAGAATTAGGGTTAGGGTCAGGTTAAGAGCTCACACTATGGAAATTATTTATTTAAAAAATGCTGTATGAGTGCCATAAGCATTTGCACAACCATCAAAAATATTCTCTATATTTTGTATATTTCCTATGATCATCAGCTCCATCTGGTGGCCATAATGCCATATTTTCCTGAAATATCTCAAACAGGAAATCACTGCAATTTGGTCACTAGATGGAGTTGGTGATCATGGGAAATATACATATTAGACAAAATACAGGGACTAATTGTGATGGGTGTGTGAATACTTGTGACATTTCTGCAGCATTGTTTTTTAAATAAAACCATGCAATATGATCTGTCCTAAATACAAATCTATCTCAGAACCCATGGGAGGCCCTGCTACACAGACCAGCCTCTGACCTCTCTAAAGGAGAAAGGAAGTTGGCAGATTTCTTCTTCACTTCTTTGCACCCTTCTTTTCTGTGCCTCTCATACGCTTTTTCTCCTTTTTTACCTGTCCCACCATAAACACTACGTTTGTACATGCTGACAGCTCCTTTTCTCTCCCTTTCAGTTGACTGTTATCCTGTTCTCACACACTGGATCAGTTTTTATGTTTATTGTTCTTATTGGCAACTCATAGTGCTCTTATCTTTATTATACTGCCTTGGTTCAGCATTTCTGTATTGTTCCAGTTATTCTGGTTCACGGCAATGGTATGTAAGCTACTTCTATACCTTTGCCTGTAATGCTCTCTAGTTTCCTTAAATCAGTAAATATTTTTGTAACATATAATAGACCCCTGCATTAAGGCACACCGTGTTGAGGTGGCCTATTTATTCTGTGTAAGGTGCCAGCACACCTTGCGGTACTAAACATTTGGACTTGAGCAGACGCAGACCACAGTGCAAAGATGTGAAGAGGCCCTTAAAGCAGAACTAAGTCCATCTATTTAATGGTTTCAAGAAACAGTTACATTCCCGGCATGCCAGGAATGCCAGCTGTCACATTTGCTTGAGCTGTCAACCAAACTGTCAAACCATCAAATGGTGTGTGCAGGGGCGGACTGACAACTCATGGGGCCCCTGGGCAATAGGGGATCATGGGGCCCGTCTCCTTGTCCAAACGCAAAAAAACCTATGAAAAAGGTACCAGGGGCATCTCATGGGGCCCCCTACTGACCCCGGGCCCTCGGGCAGTGCCCGAGTTTCCAAATGGTCAGTCCGCCCCTGGGTGTGTGTCATAACTGATCACGTGTACAGCATGGTGGTAACTGCAGATCAATAGAGGCTAAGATGGCAGCTTCTTTGGCTCAAAAAGGATGGGAGAGTTTAGTTCCACTTTAAGGTTATAGTGGAACTAAACCCTCCAATACTTTACATCTAAGGAAGCTGCCATCTTAGCCTCTGTTGACCTGCAATTACCATGGTGCTGCACACATAGTTACATAGTTTGTCTGGCTGAAAAAAGTCCATCCAGCTCAACCAAAAAAAAAAAGAAAAGTTATAATCCTATACCCACAGTTGATCCAGAGGAAGGCAAAAAACCCAAAAAACACGATCCAATTTGCTCCTGCAGGGGATCAAATTCCTTCCTGATCCCCCGAGAGGCAATCAGATATTCCCTGGATCAACTTTACCTATAAATGTTTGTATCCAGTGTGGGAACTAGTATCAAATGGTAGAGTTTTTTCAGCACACAGCCACTCGCTTTATTCCTTTTTAAAGGCCTTTTAGCCCAATTTTATTTAAAAGAAAGTTCAATATAACAGGTTTCCCACGCAGGGGTATCCACCATCAATACAAACAAAATATTCAGCCTCCTGGCTCTCTTTATCAGACCTGCTGGTTAGCAGTACTTCTATTTTAAATATAAAAACGGAAGAACTTCCTGCGATAAGAATGGGGCCCTATTCACAAAGCTGTTGACACAAACCTCCTTACCAAAATGAGTGAATATACATATATATGCAAGTGCAGCGCTATCCCTAAACTTACTAAATATATTTATACCGTGTAAACTAACTGTTCAAAATATCACAGTGCTCTAAATAAAACACAAAAGTGCTAAATCTCTGTGCAAAATGTGCAATTAAAAAATTCATACAATCCGTGTGCTGCCAACTAAAGATAAAGTGCAATTAGTGTCAATCACTAACAAAAATCACTGCACACATCTTTAATAAAAATATAATCCATACGGAAAAAAGTGTCCAAATCCGACATAAAAAACTCTCAGATCTTCATGCATGTGCTCACACGTGTCCACACTGTGTGAATCCAAACAAATAGCTGTAGTGGCCCCTCACCTCCTTGCCAAGACCCCACAGGGTCAGCTCGCTTTAAACCAGGACACCACTCTGATGACTCACCAGGTCCTCCCCCGCCTCTTACACTCTATCAGTAGTCTCCTCCTCGGTTCATATATGGACAAAAGAACTCATATAGTGTAATACTGTTTATTCTTCAGATATAGGTACAGAAAAAATTGCCCACTCACATTTAGTTTCTTCTCCTTACACGCCTTCAATACCCCATGCTATGAATCTCCTGCATGGGTATTAGATACAGGGATTTCAAATATGGCCGCCACGCCGGAAATGACGTCACCGCGCTCCCAGAATCCTCCTTGCGTTCTATTTAAATAGGTCTCCCAGACCACTGGCTAGTCCCAGCACACAGCGTTGGACCCATTGAATGCACACAGCGTTCTTCCAAAATATGGCTTTTTGCACACAGCTATCAGCCCCTTGCACACAGCTATCAGCCCCTTGCTGCTCTGGCTTCCACCTCTCCTAGGTGGAGCCCTCCTGACTCCTGGGCAATGACCTCCTGTCTGCCAGGGTGGAGCTCAGAATCATGGTTTGGTCTCTACAAAATGCCTGCACACACCTGTGCAATCAGTGTGCTGGCTGCTTTCAAAACATGGACCCAGGATTGGAGATTTCATTCCTCCCAAATCACTTAGAAATCTCAAGGCCACAGGTCCCAAAACAGGCTTTACAAACCAAAGAGGAAAACTCTTGAAGGAATGAGGAAGGGTTTAACAGCGCAAACACTGCAAAGTCCTGGGAAATGGTAGTATGGGTGATGGTGGTATTAGTGGCTACTGTATGAAGAGCGTAGGATTCCGTGTGGCACTGAGGGCAAACGGCCACGCCGCCGCTACGTTCCAGCGTGCGTTCCATCCGGCTTTGAGGGAGGACGTGCATGAAGGCTCGCCTCACCAGTGTCCCCCCTCCAGCCACCACGCTGAAACATCGCAGAGAGATGACGGCTCTTCACCCGGGTTACCACCCCCCACCGTTAACTATTGTTAACCACGGTTTTTTATGCTTATGATTACTTCACACATGTGAGTTTTTTCTACATTTAGACTTGAATTAAAAGACTTATTGCACTTAGAGGCGCTTCTCCCTTTTTTCTCAAAACTCTTGAAGGAGTCTATTCCACATTTTCACAGATCTTACTGTGAAGAAACCTTTCCATATCTGGAGATTAAATTTCTTTTCCTCCAGACATAAAGAGTGCCCCCTTGTCCTCTGTGATGACCTCAGGGTGAATAGCTCTACACCGAGTTCACTATATGAACCACTGATGTATTCAGGGGTGGACTGACCATTTGGAAACTCGGGCACTGCCCGAGGGCCGGGGTCAGTAGTGGGCCCCATGAGATGTCCCTGGTACCTTTTTCATAGGCTTTTTTGAGTTTGGGCAAGGACACAGGGACCCCATGATCCCCTATTGCCCGGGGGCCCCATGAGTTGTCAGTCTGCCCCTGGATGTATTTATACATGTTGATCATACCCCCCCTTAACCTCCTTGGCGGTATTCCCGAGTGTAGCTCGGGGTAACATTTCAGTACCAAAAGCGGTAACCCCGAGCTACACTCGGGCTTACCCTGCGGCACTGCTCCAGCATGTATTCTTCACTTACCTTACCCTGCGCTCCCACGATGTGTCCCCTGCAGCGTCCCCGGCCATCTCCTCCGGCCGATGCCGGCATCCGGCTTCTGTGTCCTGTCCCTGTGACGTCGGGACGTACGGGCGCCGCCGCCGCCGCCGCCGGCGGCGGGAAATTTAAAAATTTTTAAAAAATGTCATTTTTTTTTTTTACATTTTACATAGTAAAACATTGCTGTCTCAACCAATTTCACATACATATTGTCCCTAATGCTTTGTCCTGCGCCCTGCCTGCATTTTGTCTGTTCTTTCTGCCTGGAAACTGAGAAATGTCCATGGCGTCCAAAAAGTGTCCCTTTAGGTCAAAAGCGGTTTTAGACCAGCTAGAGAACAGCGATAGTAAATCAGAACCCTTGCAGAATTGAGTGATAATGATTCGTGTCATCAGACACTGAAAACGATTTTGCGACCTCAGCAATGTGCGAACTTGGCGCTATATTTCACATTTCAGTGTTTTTGGTTTGATTATATTATTGATGATTATTTATTAAATTATAATTTATGATTTTGTGTTTCAAATTTTATCAAGGATGTTTACTAGACTCTTGTTCGGACAGATTTCAGTGAGTTTTTTCCTAAAAATTACAGCCTACAATAAAAAAAATACATATTTCCATGCAAAAAATGGTCCCGCTTTCAGCACCAAAAATCTGAAATAATCATACCGCCAGGGAGGTTAACTTGTTGCCAACCGCAGATAGCTGAATGATGGCTGCACTGCGGCCGGCCAGTTCTGAGTGGACGTCATATGACGTCCCCCCAGAACGCGCTCTCCTGCGCGCCCCAGGGGCGCGCACCACCCGTCGATCTCCGTGATCGCTGTGTCCTACGGACACAGCTGATCACGTGATGTGGTAAAAGGCCAATCACAGCGGCCTTTTACCACCTGATAAGCGGTGTCCAATGACACGCTGATCAGAGGGAAATGCAAGTGCCGGTTCTCGGCTGCACTTTCCTCATGCTGTCAGATCGTGAGGAAAGTACTGCCGAGAACCGGCAGTTGTCAGAGCGGGGATCGGCACCGATCATCAGGGCACTGATGATCAGTGCCCTGATGATCGGTGCCCAGCAGTGCCACCCGCAAGTTCCGCCCACCTGTGCCCTGCAGTGCGCCCACTAGCTCCGCCCACCTGTGCCCAGCAGATCACCCACCTGTGCCCAGCAGTGCACCCACCTGTGCCCAGCAGTGCACCCACCTGTGCCACTCTGCAATTTCACACACCTGTGCCCAGAAGTGCCACCTACCTGTGCCCAGCAGTGCCACCCACCGGTGCCCACCCACCTGTGCCCACCAGTGCCACCCACCTGTGCCCACCCACCAGTGCTGCCCACCAGTGCCACCCACCAGTGCAGCCCAGCAGTGCTGCCACTCAGTGCCACCAGTCAGTGCCCAGCGGTTGTGCCAGTCAGTGCCCAGTCAGTGATGCCAGTCAGTGCCGTCTATCAGTACCCATCATCAGTGGCACCTATCAGTGCCGCCTATCAGTGCTGCATATTAGTGCCGCCTATCCGTGACACCTCATTAGTGCTGTCTATCAGTGCCGCCTATTCGTGCCACCTCATTAGTACTGCCTATCAGTGCCCTTTAGTGCTGCCTATCAGTGCCCATCAGTGCCGCCTATCAGTGCCCATCAGTGCTGCCTCATCAACGCACATCAGTGAAGGAGAAAAATTACCTGTTTGAAAAAATTTTATAATAGAAACAAAGAAACTTTTTTTTTTTTTCAAATTTTTGGCAATTTTTTATTTATAGCGCAAAAAGTAAAGCGCCCAGTGGCGATTAAATACCACCAAAAGAAAGCTCTATTTGTGAGAAAAAAATGATCAAAATTTCATATGGGTACAATGTTGCATGACCGCGCAATTGTCAATCAAAGTGCGGCAGCGCTGAAAGCTGAAAATTGGCCTGGTAAATAAGGGGGTATAAGTGCCTGGTAGGCAAGTGGTTAATCTCCTCTTCTCAAGAGAGAATAAATTCAGTTCCTCTAATCTTTCCTCATAGCTGAGCTCCTCCATGCCTCGTATCAGTTTGGTTGCCTTTCTCTGTACTTTCTCCAATTCCCCAATGTTCTTTTTGTGAGTTGGTTCCCAAAATTGAACTGCATATTCCAGATGAGGTGTTACTAATGATTTGTACATGATCAGTTATGCCACCAACCATTTGATGGTTTGACAGTTGAGGGCAAAAGCAAATGTGACAGTTATTCCTGAAATTTAACTATTTTGGGAAACAGTTAAATCGATGGGTTTAGTTCCAACTATTGGTGCTATATAAATCCTGTATAATAATGGTTCCATTAAAATGTTGGGGGAGGTTATCACCGGTAATGTTTCAGGGCTGCACAAGACCCTTTTATCAAAGTGACCCTGAAAATGTCAGTTGTGTTTGGTTATGCAGGTAATGCCTTGTCTGCTTGCTATATTGCTGCTGTGGCAAAGCCTCCATGCAGTGCATCCAGCCTCTGATCTTAGGCCTTTGTGGTGGTATATACTGTATGAATTCTGATACACAGCTTATCATTGAAGACATTATTTTAGATGATAGTCATGTAATCAGTGTTCAAGCAGGGACGGGTTAAGTGACAGCAGGGTGCTCTAGCATTGGGAACACTATAAAGTTACTTATTTTTTCTTTGTAGCCACACACCAATCAGCACCAGTGATAGGAACTAAGGTGCCAAATTAATGTGTCTGTGCTCCTCCACCGCCATTTTACACCTATACCGTGATAAGTGCAGTGCTAAAAGGGGCATTACACTTCTGAAATATGTGTGTGTTTTATATACTTCTTGTTAATTAAGGCAGTGATATTCTAAGGAAAGTTTGGTTCAGAATTTTCCAGGTAGTAGAGAGACCTAAGCACCCCATCATTCTCTGTGATAACCAGTCACCAGTTGGAAATACGTTAGTCCAAATAATTTATATGAAAGATATGAAACATACCATAAGGGCAAAAAGGTGTAAACCCCCTTCCAAAAAATAGATTTAAGGAGTATGCAGTGAAGGGAAGGGTACTGTTAATACTACACCATACTAAGACATTTTAGATCATTGTGCTTGTTGGAATACAGTTGTCATGTATTTTGTTCAACAGCTACATCAGCATTCAGTAGAGATATATTCTTCAACCGGTAGATGGCAGTGTTTATAAGTTTATAGCTGCTTCTATGATTCTATGACTTTTCTCTAAAATGAAGTTTCCTGTTTCCTGGTTGCAGTGAAGGAGAAATGCACATGTGGACTGTGCACTGTCTGTTCTGTAGGGCTATATATAAAATTTCTAACAGTGTGTTTCTAACATTGTGGTAACAGTTTGGGGAAGACCTTTATCTGTTCCAGCGTGACTGTGCCCCTGTGTACAAAGCTATCTGTATAAAGACATGGCTTAACCACTTTGGTGTGAAGAAACTTGAGTGACCTGTAAAGAGCTCTGATCTCAGCCTTACTGAGCGCTTTTGGAATGAAATGAACTCTAATGGTGAGCCAGGTCCTCTCATCCAAAATCAGTACCTGACCTCACAAATGGGCACAAAAACACACTCCAAAATCTTGTGGAAAGCCTTCCCAGAATAGTGAAGGATGTGAAGGTGTTCACAAATATTTAGTCATATAGTGTAGCTCAGAATGCTCAGCAGGCTAGAATTTACAAAATTCTTTGAGGCAGAAATCACCTTCTAATAATCACAGCATGTTTACATATATCCAGTGAAGTGACTGGCCACTGGTGATACACAGAGATGAAATAAATCCTCCTACATTAGTTGTACCTGTTTATCTGGAGTCTTTTCTTTTCATCCGTTCAAAGTCTGGAATTTATAAAGCTTGTCTGAGCTATTAAAAAACCGGGAGTGGAGAGCTAAATTACAGACATACAGACCTCAGTGAAGAGAGCTCTGAGAGCTGCTTGGACACGCCACACACAGGAACAGAGCTGAGGCTGTCAATTACAGGCTCTATGTTGAAGGTCCCTCCCTGTCACCTTTTTTCTGTTGGTGTCAGGAAAACTTGTCAGAAGAGGAAGGAGGCAACAGACAGAAATTACACTTAAGCAGGCCATACTTTAAGCAGTGTTCTTTCCTGCAACCATGGGTTGCAGGAAAGAAAATTGCTTGATTCCCCCATCAACGCATTCAGTGTTCATCGGGGAATCCCTCCCGCTGAGCTTTTGTATTCTGACAGTTGGAGATTTCCCAGCCATCAGTATACAGTACAACCAACTTGCCCATACATGAATCAAAATTTGTAAAAAACAAAATTAGCCTAAAAACTTAAATTAGCCCAGCAAAGGTGACAAGCGTGACGAGACTTTCCCTTTTCTGTCAGTTTTTACTTAATGGCCAGCTCCAGGAAACTATAGCCACACTCCAAAGGTTAAAGTATATGTAAACCCTTACAATGTAATATACTCCACTGAGTTTAAAATAGAAATGAAAGGCAAAACATGTGTGTATAGATATAAAAAACATTATAAATATAAGTGATCACATTCCCTCCGTTCTCGGCTGCATAAAGATCTTAGAGAGGTGGGGGAGGAGAAGCAGCAGTACACTAAATCTTCCCAGTGATAGACTCTGCAGAGGAGGCATGTCAAGAGAAATCTAATCATTGGAGGAGAGCACACTGAGTTCCCAGCACAGTTAGAACACTGACCATGGTGTGTTCTGCTTAGTGTGGTCAGTTTTTAATAGAAAAGCGGAGGGACTGCAGGAACACTAGGGATTTCAAACAAAGGAAGCAATACAAAGAAAATAGGATACTTTTTCCGACAAGTACATGGTACAGCAGGCACATATAAATGTGAAATGTTGGGTTTACATATTCTTTAACTGCACAGTTTTTCTATGGGAGAGAAGAAGCATCTATACTTACTCCTAATCCTCCGCTCCTCCAGCAGCTGGTGCTCCCCCATGCTCCAGTGGTGGTCTGTCCCTTGGCTATGGACACTGTACTGGTCTTGATGATTTTTCAAGGCCTTAGACCTGTGGGACATGGGGGAGAAGACACAGTAGGGACTGTTTTAGTAACGGGAAGGAGCAGAGGATCGGGTCAGCAAATCTGCTTTTCTGAGTCCCCTAGATCTGAATAAGCAATGAACTTTTGCAGTATGGGCTCAGCCCCACTGCAAGGGATAACTGTATAGTTTCCTGGAGTTGGGCATTAAATTTCTTCTTTTCTGTGTTTGGGGCTATCTTCCCCAGCCAGTACTGATGCATTTTCTTAGAGTGTACTGACTGCCCTTCATTGTCTGTCTGTTCCTGCATTTTGGGTCCTTCTGTTCCTTCCTCATATTCTTCCAGTTTTTCTTCCTATATTAGCTCTGATTTCTGATCCCACTCGTCTCTCTTTGTATTCTGTTGCTCCCGGTTATTGCTTTGTTTATTCCCACCTGTCAGCTGTCCAGATCAGTTCTTTTTTTTCTATGTATTAATTCATTTATTAAACTTTTTTCCTTACAAAACCACAGCAAAATAACATTTACATCCAAAATACAACCATTCCCCTAAAATTTTGCAATGCCACCTCAAACCCCCCTAATAATATACCCTGGTCCATATAGCTCTTCCCTTCTCTTTTCTACTTTCCATTCTATACCTATGATCTTTCTCCTCAATCCTCACTTCCAACTCCTTTTTCTTACTATTCTTCCTTTCCCTCCAGCCTTTCTTTTCCCTTCTCCTTATTCATGCTATTGCCTTACAGATCATTCCCTTTATTCTCCTACTTCAAATCAGATCCCTGGGCCTCTCATTACTTCAATATATTTTCCAGATGCCTTGAAGTCATACCATCTTCCCCAATCCTTTCTAAATTTGGTCATATTACCTTTGTTTATATGGTATAGTTCCTCCATCCTATTTATATATTCCACCCTGTCTAACCAGTCGCTAATTGTTGGGGGCTCCTGTGACCACCAAAATTTTGGAATAAGCCCTTTAGCCACTCTGATTAGGTGGTATAATATACTGTTTTTTATACTGCTTCACTGTCCAGATCAGTTCTAAACCTTTTTACCCCAGAAGAACCCCTAAAATAATTTTCAGGGCTCAGGGAACCCTTACTAAAACCAGTTAATCAGGGGTCAATGGGGAAAATCAGTAGTCAGTAGCAATAATGCCCCCCCCCCTGTACAGTGGTGCTCAAAATGCCACCCTTACAGACAGCTAAAAAGATTATTAGTGTCATGCTCATGTAAGTGACATTGGCTTTGTAACTATATAGGAACCATCACATGAGAGGTCAATCAGTCACAGGTCACAGAACCCCCACCAACCTCTGGAGGAACCCTGGTTAAGAATGTAAATAGTATCTTTTCAATGCTCCCTCATACCCACTAGTAAAAATTAAACACCCAAATCAAGAAAAAAATGTCCACATATAAGTCCAAAATGTATAGAGTCAAAATAAAATAAAATAAAATAAATGTCCAAAAAAAATATTAATGCTTTCCAATAATTAGTGCTTTTCAGACGTTTTAAGAAACAGTCCCCTTTGCCGAATTCCAATCCAGGACCTCAAATTCAGAATACCTCAAAAAAATAAAACTCAATATAGTGTATTATCATTACAATAAAGAAAAACACTCGTGAAGACTAAAAGTGATTCCTCCAGGGCTCATCACTGTGTCTTAGAGGCTACATTCCCGTGGTGAAGACTAA